AACTTTTTTCCTACTGACACTACAGCAAAAGATGGAAATAACAGACTTAAAACCATTTTTTAAGTGGTGAAAGTACTAGTGTTCTAATAATTTTGGCCACCACTGTATGTATATCTGTAAAAAAACAAAGAAAACCTGCAACCTGGTACATTATGATATAATTTCTGAGCAGACTGGTAAGAATATGTTCATGACCAATCAGATTATAGTTGGTGGTTTTGATCGTAATTTCAGCTTTTATGATTTCAGCAAAAATTACAGTATTGGAGTTGCATTTTTTTGGTCAGGACTGCACGATTATGACAAAACCCATAATTGTTGTTTCCCTTGATAATGCAATCACAATAATTTCAGTAAATAAAAATAGCTTTTAAAATACATGGCCACTGCAGACCAGATTTTTTCGCAGGCTGCACATCTAAATAAATAACCCAAGAATCTGAGTGTTGCTGAATAACTTCAATGCTGTTTTATACATCAGTAATGACCTTTAGCCACTGTGAACAAGAGTGAAACATAAAGCACATTTAAATGCATCTATAAATGACACAATAGCAGTATACTATAAAGATTTTTTTTATCTGAATAAAGTTGTAAATAAAACAGACTATTGGAGTATGTTTTACCATTTCAGTTGTACATACTTCAGAAATTCAGTATGCTATGTTTCTTTGTGATATATAACACACAATTGTGAAGTTTACTATTCATTTCTGAGTGAAAATTGTTTCTACCATTTTTTCAGTGTGAAATGCTGCAGTTGACACTTTACAGTGATCTGCAGCAGCCATGATCATAAATATGACTATTTATTTGATTTATCACCCTATAATTGATACATAAAAACATTCTCCACGACAGCATTAAATTTACCGGCTTAACCGATTGTCCTCGAATCGGCACGTTAACGGTTATGCTGCCTGCGGCCTCCGTAGAGCTTCTGGTGAGCAGGGCTTTCCCCCTGAGTAGGGCTGGACAATAATTCAATATCAATATGTATCGCGATATAATTTTTTTCAATAACGGTGATATGATTTTTAAACACATTTCCGATATTTCGATATACATTACCAGTTTCCCATACATTGATTTATTTGTAGCGTTTGACTTAATTGAATAAACATGAGCACTGCACGTTTCAAAATCATAACACGGCGGGTGTTTTATATGAATGTATCTCTGAAGGGAATTGACTGTCTTCAGAAAAGTTTCGATGGCATTTTCATTTGATCTGATAAAGTAGCGTTCATGAGCGGAGCTGCTTTGATTACAGCCGTTACCGGAGAAACCGCTAGTTTTATCACTCTAAAAGCGCCTCC